AAAACTTGCGCGTACATGTGTATCTGTGTTCGTATCCGTGTATTCGTATGTGTATTTGTATCGGCACAACGGGAGAAATAAGGGGGGTTCAGGGCGCGGAGAAGAATAGCACTGGCGCGAGAGGGGAACCGAGAGTACAACCCCTCGACGTTGCTGGGGTGGACGCGGAGACTGCTGCTGCTGGGATGTCTGGCGATACTGAAAATACTGAAACTACACACGCTCTTTCACTATGCCAACCGCCATCCCTCTGTCCAGCTCTCCCGTGTGTGTGTGTGTGTGTGTGTGTGTTTGCGCGTGTATGTATTACCCCTTCTCTCTCTCTCTCTTTTGTCTCTTTTTTTCTATCTCTATGCTTTTTTTTTTGTATCCATCGTTTGCTTTTACACCTGTACGCTTCGTCCTCGTCGTTATAATGTGTAAGACGATCGAGGTCATCGTTGGAAAAAGAAGGAGAAAGAGAATACTTGATTGCTTGGTCGTGTTGTGGACATTTGTGAATTTGATAACGCGTTTGATGGGCCCCATCGAACTAAATACGATCACCTATTATCCCACGGGACCGATATATTTATCCGGATGAATATACATATATGTTGTATACCGATTCCTCGATAACGATGCGGCTTGATTAAACAATCAACGAGCCGCATCACGCCAGCTGATTGCTCAATCGCGTTTCACTCGAGCCGCGTTAAATGTTTTTTAATCTCAGTTTACGGGGTGATATCTCAATTTCGCGACGTTCGATAACCGCAAAGCACACAGCAGGAAAATTAAATCTGCGCAACGCGAAATTATTATCTTGCAATACGAGTTTAAATTCGCACGGCGCAAAATAACGAGGTAACGATCCGATAACGAGAGCAAGTAAAATGCATGGATGCCGTTTAGTGAGAGAGCGCGAAAAACGTTAAAATCGCGGAAACTAAAAAGATCAATATAGCTTGTTCGTCGATGAAAATGATATAGAGCCGACAACGAATCGCATCTCGAAAAGATTCCGTCTTAAGAAATGACATTTTAAGAGACAAGTGTCATTTGACGGTAAATCGCAAAGAAAAACGCGAACTCGATATATCGCGCGTTTCTCAAGCCCGTTTCTCTCCGACCTGCATCTCTCTCGCAGATCTAGAAAAAAAAAAACTGTCTGGGGGAATTTTCCGATATCGACAGCAATAAACGTCTCTCATGAAGTAGGACTGGAGGAAATGAAGAGGGAGTGAGGGAAAAGAAAGAAAGAGTTTAATAATCACGTCGGAGGAAAGGCGAGAGAAAGGAGACGAGGAAAACCTGGCGACGTACGGCGTCGTAAGACGTTTTCCGCGCCGAGGCCGATCACGGAGCTTTCGCGGAGCAGTTGGGGATGGCAGGGTAGGAGGGGAAGGAAAGAAGCGTGATCGCCGCGAAGAGGGGTGGCCGACAACATGACCGAGCCGTGCCGAGCCGAGCCGAGCGGAGCGGAGCGGAGCCGAGCACACGGAGCGAGAGGATCCGCGCGCCCGCGGAGGGGTGGGTGTATTGATCCACCAGCTGTTCTCGTCGGCGTCGCCCCTTCTCTCTCCCTCTCCCACCCCGCCGCTTCATCCCTCCGCCGCGCCACTCCCAACCCCAAACGACTCGCTCGTTTCGCTTCGACCCTCCCGGCTCTCCCTCTCTCTGTCTCTCTCCTTCCCGCTGGAACCTTCCGCTTCGCCCTGTCTCGCGTTCTCCATCTTGCTCCAACCCTCCCGCTCGTCCAACATCCCCGCAACATCCCCTTTGCAGCGCGCATGTCGACCATGCCGCTCGCGGCGATATATCCGAACCGGGCTAACGCGCAACCGTCTCTCTCTCTTCCTCTCTTCCTGCTACTCATCTCATCCACCTCGCCGACCCCGCGTACACCCGCCGTACGACCACCGCCGCCGGTGCTGGTGAATGTACGACGCGTTGTGTGGATCCTGAGGGAAAAGGCATCGCGACGGGCACGGTATATATCTCCGGTTAGATATACACGGACGAAACGACCGTAGAGTTTCTCTCTTAGTTACGTTTCGCGTATCTCTCTTGCAAGATCCAACCACCTTGGGTGGTGGTATCGGTTTGTTACGCCCGCTCTCTATACGATATGAGATCTCTGACCGAGAAAGGAGGATGTGTACCATCCATCCGACGCGTGTAACGCGCGCGCGAGATATCCGCGAGGATTGTCTCGCTTTATGGCTTTTATGGCAGCAACGCGACATGTATAATAATGGTACAATAATCTGTTATTGTCATTGCGTATATGACGCGAAAGATAAAGTCGTTCCATTCGACTAATTTTGCGCTCGATTTTTGCAATTTACCGATTACAAAAAAGATACCTACTCTCGAAGTAAAATATATTCGTAGCGAATTTTTCGGCGCGATCGACACAGCTGCCGTATTCGCGAAACGCAGTTGTAACGTGAATTATTTAGCGACGCCAAATATAAACGTACGTAGTAGGCAAGGCAACGATAACGCGATAATCAATATAACTGTAAAAATAATTAATACAGGTTAAGGGGACGATAAGGTATTGTCGTTAGGATTGCCTCTCCCTGCTCCGTTTGAAAAATATGCAGGATACGTATCAATTATCTATATTGCTTTTCATTAATTTATTTAAACAAATATTTTGCACCGTGCGCGATAATTAATCAGATATTAGCGTTTGTGTCTCTGGTAATTACATGAAATAAATAAGCGTATTCTCGATAATGATTAATCGAACATTTACTGATATTGTAAAACGAAATGGATAGATATATTGCGTTTTTTTATGAGATTATCGATTATTCTGTAGAATCTTGGACGAAAGCAGAAGAGTGCGTGTGTGTATAGGATCTTATTTTACGAAATATAATTTTTTCATATTTATAATAATTATAAAAAATCCAACAATATTTTTTTGAAATTTTTATATTTTTTTTTCCTTAATATAAAAAAATTTGTATCTTTGAAATTTTTTTGATATAAATAAGAGAAGTATCTTATAGACAATTTACCTTTAAAGAACGTGGGTTTCGTAGATCGTAAAATTTCGGTACGGACGGAATCTCGTATCTCTGATACTTGGTCATCCTAAAAAACGAAAAATTCTATTTCGCGCTTATTTAATGGAAAGATGTATACGATTCGCAAAACGTATTATTGTTTTCCGTAACCGGTCGCATTCTCGTTTTCACTACGAAATTTATTCGCGTTTTTTTCAACAAGCGGGCGGTTGCCTGTAACACGGCGTAAGTAAAAGTTAGCGCATGTAAAACAGAGTTCCACGACTGTTGGCTCTCTCGGCAGACACAGTGACCTTAACGCATTATCGTTGTACAAGATCGTTTCATTTCCATTCGCTGAATTTAATTTTATCAATTATTAATTTCTTATTTATATGAAATATTTATTTTATTTTATCATTTAATTAGTTATGTTTTTATATTCATAGTCGAAGTCATGATACTGATTATTTTACTTGTTTGAACGTGTTTTTCTATTCCTTAACTTACGAAATATCGCATCATCGAGTTTTTTAAATATGAAAAACTACTTCGAAATATTTTTACATTGTAGTGACCTGAGAGATCATCGAGTATATTTATAACTCTCAACTGGCCGACTCGTATGTAAATACACAGGATACTTCGCTGCTGTTTGCGCGTGACTTTGGCTGCGCGTGACTTGGCGCAAGACACTATCGTGTCTTTTAATCGCATTTTATATCGCGTATTGTTTATTTATTATGTCATTTGCATATCACTCGTTTACGCAAAATTTTAATGACAATGCAGAATAGTCATGTTGCATTGCAACATGAGAATATTTTGAAATAATTTTCCATATTCAAAAAACTCTTACATAAAGAAAATATAAATAATTATGCGCTGTTTTTGATAATGCGACCTTTCGTAAATTAAGGAATAGAAAAATATGTTTAATTCAGCGAAATAAGTAGTTTATCATGACTTCTATTATAAATATAAAAACATAATCAAATAAATGATAAAATAAAATTAATATTTCATATAAATAAAAATTAATAATTTGATCGAATTGAATATCGCATGATGTAAAAAAAAAACATTCTCTTTTTTACTTTACCGTTAGCGAAAAAAAACTTGGTAGTAGGGAAGTACTATAAGAAACTTACTGAACGTCAATCGTAGTAACGAAGAATCTATGGTATGTTATGAAAGGTATAGCGAACATCACGCAAGTTGTTATGAAGGCGAGCGGTATTAACTGAAACAAAAAAAAATATGTTAGCGCACAAACTCCTAATAAAGCTGTCGATATTTGTCAGATGCTTATCGCCGTCCGCACGAACGCTTCTCTCACAAACTAGTTGTAATGTAATAAATAGAGAGTTGTGCAGTGCGATATAATCGTGCACGAATATTGTTTAGTTCTCACGTCAATAATTAATTTAGCAAATGCTTTGCTAAATCAAGCATAAATCTTTGCATAAAATTGAGGGGGAGATATAAGATTTGAAATGTTTGTTATGCGAAATGGAAAAAATAGTAGAAGTACATTTACACAACAAATGTTTCTGTAAAATTAAGGGTCTACTCTAGCAGTATGAAAAATTAATAATCTTCGTAATTTTTTTTTTAAGAATATTAGGAATTGATCTCTTTGGCGTTTCACATATGTTTTTATCGATATTTAAACAGTCCGTTAGTATTTTTAAATATTCAATATATCTATTACTTCAACTTTGAAAATAGTTTTGAGAAAAAAAGAGGTTGAAGTTTTGCAAGCCCTTTGAAGATCCGCGCGCTATCTTATTCAAAGCCTTATAATTTCATTAATTTTGCGAACTTTTCGATAAAATTTGAAAGGCATATTCTTCAAACATCATATTTATCAGAAAATATAAAAAAAATCGGCTTTTTCGATTTCAGCGGACTGGGTCCTTAACTCGGCGAGTCTCATTCGACCGCGACTCGTGTCTCTCTCTCTCTAACGATAGATCTATCTTTGATTGTTCGCAGCGCCGGCATGGAGGCGACGAATGGCGCGATCGAGCACGACTTCCACAACACGCTGGTGCCGATAAACGGTAGCCATTCGGGCAGCTCCGGCAGGAGTACGCCGAACGGCGGCGACCCGGCGCCGGGCAAGCTCTTCGTGGGCGGCCTCTCTTGGCAGACGAGCAGCGAGAAGCTGCGGGAGTACTTTGGCATGTTTGGCACCGTCACCGACGTTCTCATCATGAAGGATCCGGTCACACAGGTCGGTCTACCTAATCCTGAGCATAACTTTCGGCTTGCTCGCCCGATCAATTACGGTTTTATTGTCTTGTCGTACGAGGCTGTTTAACACTTAACTCGTGCCTGATTAACGCGTCTTCATTGATCGCGTCAAATATTTCAAGGCCATGCCGATTGAGAGGATGTAAGCATTCTCAATTATTATTTGTTAGAAATTTATATGAGCGAATTATATTTTTCTAGTCTTTT